TCACCCCAATAAACTCACTAAAACACTCACACCCATGTGTGAAAACGCCATTTTTCTTTTAAACGCATTGCAGCTCCTGCCCTCCTGGTGGGAAAGTAACTAAAGCATGGGAGGAGGCTGACTCTTGCCTGTTTGGGGCGGCACCTGTTATGGGCTGAGTGAGAAGCACTGTCTAAAGTTCACATGTCGAAATGCTACCCCCAGTAGTGCAGAATGTGACCATACTTAGAGCCAGGGACCTTACAGAGGCAACTAAGTTGAAATGGAGTTGTGAGAATGGGCTCTAGTCCACCGTGACCTTTGTCCCACCCTCTGTCCCACGACAGAGGGAGTGACCATGTGAGGAGGACACCAGGAGAAGGGGCCCCTCTGCAAACCAGAGAGGGGCCTCAGGAGAAGCCAAATGTGCCAAAGTCTTGACCTTGAACTTCTAGTTTCCACAACTCTATGGAAGTGAATTTCTCTGGTCTAAGCCACCTGGTCTGCGGTGTCTGTCATAGCTGGCCCAGCCAATGAATGCAGCAGCCCTAGGGGAGTCTTCCCCCCCGGGGCAAAGGGTGCGTAAAATATGGGTCCCCCTCTGCAAGAACAGCGGATGCCTCCCACCACGGCTCGGCAGGAAGCTTGAGGAGCCTCAGGCCTCCTGTTCATAGATCTCTGCCCCCAGCATACCCCCCAACCTTGCACCCCAAAAATGAAAGCAGTAAGGTTGGGGGGCGTCTGCTGGCTGCATGGGGCTGGAAACAGTGAGGCAGGCTCTGTCCTTCAGGACCAAGAGCTTCTTATTTCCCGGCTGCAGGACCAGCGTGGGGATCTCTATCATCTCAGGATATTGCACAACGAGGAAGTCATGCAAACCACATCCGGCTTGACCGTGGCTGGGGAAGTGACCAACCAAGGAGAAGAGATGGGGGCAGCAGCCCCTCCTCGTCTCAGCCTCCAGATGTGGGCCCGGCCCCCCTCAAATGCTGCCCCCGGGGCAGCTCACGGCGAGCGGGACCATCCTGCAAAGCAGGCTCACGCCCTTGAAGTCCATGGAGAGCAGCCGAGCTTTGGTCCTCACGTGGCCCCCCAGGGAGGGTGGTGTGATGCTTAGTTCACAGGTGGGGGCGCTGAGCCGGAGACATGCCGCCACTCTCAACAGCCACGTGGCCGGAGGGCAGCGGGGCCAGGGCCAGCCCAGCCTCGTCTTCGGAGCCAGCAGTGGGCGAAGATAGGAAAGTCCCATCCTAACACATCTGCACAAACATTTGTAAGGGGGCAAGAGGAACCTAGACTAACAGAGAGAACACAGAGCCCTCATTTAAGCCGAGGGTCTGAAATTCCCCACCGCCCTGTAACCGGAGACACGAACAACTATTCCGGACAAGATCTACTTTCGCCTCCTTTTATTTCCCCAGCCCACTCCTTCAGCGGTCCGAACTACCAAGCAGGAGAGGAGAAGGCAGCGCCGGCCTCCGGGAAGTCGGGGAGCTGGTGGTGTCCTTCCCCACGTCTTACCTGAAAAGATGGTCACAGAGAGCAGGAGGAAGAACCCCATGACCGGGTGGAAACGAGCCTTCCACTGGAGGGGTGAGTTGTATCCAGGGGTCTCAGGAATCCTGGGTCTGTTTAAGGGAAACAGGTATCTTTGAGCTTAATATGGTTTTGTCCTGTAGGGAGAAACCAGGGACAAGGGGACAGCCAGTTAATCCAGGCAGTGGGTCCATATACAGTGTCCAGGCTGTGTGACCACATACGGTGTCCAGGCCACGTGACCGTGTACAGTGTCCAGGCCATGCAACCATGTATGGTGTCCAGGCCATGCAACCACGTACGGTGCCCAGGCTGTGTACTGCACAGGGCACCTCATCGGAGGGACACCACTCGTGAACACAAACTACAGAGTAAAGCAGGGCAACTGAGAAAATTCTGGGCTCCCTAGCAGACTCCGAAACAGGAATGGAGACTCCCACACAGGTGAAGACCACCTGACACAAAGCCCTGCCCACACACACCACCGGAGGCACACATTCGTGTGTGCAACTGTGTCGTGCCCTGCCGACGTTCCGGTGTCCCCAGAGGCCATCCGTGTGGCCCATCCACCACGATGGGGGGCAATTCCTCTTCAGCTGACAGGAAGGCTTGTAAGGAGACACCTAGCCTCCCTGACTCCGGAGTGGAGGCTGTAGCCTCACTGGGGGTGGGGTTAGGGGCGGACCATGAAGCTGTCGGGAGCAGAGGTGTCCTGACCGATCGGCAGCACGTCAGCAGGCCCGCAGCCAGCCCAGGAAACCAGCCCCTTATCTGCAGAAGAGGCCCAGGACGCCAGCCTGCTACACGTCAGACCGGCAGGAAGTTGGGCCATCCTCTCCACCAGTAGCCCAGACCACCAAAGAGCACCCCTGTAAACAACCAGCCCCAAACGGCCAGGCCTTGATGATAACAGACAGCTCCCCTCATTTTTGTCATGCTTCCAAACTGGGACCGACCAGAGAAGGTCAGATGGCCCCGATAACCACGCACACGGGAGGCCCCCCTGTAGTCAGCCGGCCAGCAGCCTCCCCAGGACATCACCCCAGTCAGGTCGCCTGCAGCCTCCCCGGCTCCCAGCACAGCGCGTCCCCACTCCCCTGCCCGCCTCAGAGTCTCCGCCCAGACACAGGGGACAGCGGCTGAGACCCCCGGCTGCAGAAAACTCGGAACAGACAGTCTTTGCTTTTTCTCGTTTAGTCTTTATCCATAGTTGACTTGATTTTTAAAAACTGGATAAATAAACCCAGCTACTCAACATGTATCTTTGTTCCAGTGAAACCATACACGGAGAAAGCAACCTTGGTTTTGTCAGGTGGTCGTTTCACTCTCTTCCTTTGGAGTAAAAGCCCAACAGCCACCCTTGCCTGTTCAGCCGAGGGGAGCCGGCCAGGAGATGCGATTTGGGGAGACCCGGGATGTTGTCCCCAAACCTGAAACCTGGGTGTAACTCCCCACTTCTACCCAAGCTCCTCACGCCTTATTCTTGGTTCATCTCTTCTGAGTTCACCCCAAGGGACATTTTCACTTTAAGGGCTTCTTCTGGACAGGGGGAGCACCTTAGCTCAGCAGATGCCCGTTTGACAAAAAACAAAACAAATCAAATCAACTCCGTCAGGAAGAGAAGAGAGCGGAGGAGGAGAAAGGGAGAAGAGAAAACAATACGTTTCTGAAACTCAGGGGCCACACTCTGAGGGTGACATCTGAGGACCCAGGACAGATTGCTGATTTGTTCTTGGGGAAATGATCTTTTTAAATCAAGTTCCCAGAAAGGGCTGGTGCTGAGTGTTGCTATAGCAACAAAGTTCGAGATTGTAAATTAAGAAGCTTGAGTGAAGAGCACCAGAAACTGAGAACTAACCAGAACTTCCCTCAAGCTGCCCCGTAGGCAAAGTGAGGTTCCTGGGCAGAACAGTGGGCCAGGGCCACCAGCAGCCCCAGAGTGGACCCAGGGCCTGGGCCTGGAGGGACATTTTAACTAGACACAGAAATTAACTAGGAGGGAAGCCCCGACTCAAATAAGGGAATACCACTAAGAAAAAAGTTGGGGATCAGGTAGAATTCTTAAGGAAAAACATCCCCCAAAAGGCTGAAGGGGAGAGTGTCAGGAATAAAGCCACCCCCACTCCCAGGGACCCACAGGAACTGGGGGCTGTGTCCATCTTCCGCCCCCGAGATATGATCGCCAGTAATGCCAGGAAGTGGGTGGGTGGGTGGGTGGGTGGGGTGACCCGCTCAAACTTCCCAGATAGTGTTGGCCCTTCCTGGGGTGATGGGAGGGGGAACCAGGACCCTCCCCGGCGATGTTAACCGGATGAACGGGGTTGCCAGACGCCCACCTCACAGAGGGGTTAGGATAAACTTTCGGGACTGGCTACGAATTCATTTTTTTATTCATTTCAGTGCTCTTGTCCTCTTGGGTGTGGTTTAATTGAAGTCCCCATCTTTCTGCTCTTGTCAAGTTCATACGTTGTCTTGGGAGTAAGCATCCACAGGTGTAATTTTAGATAGACCACACCAGAGCTGCCACCTGGAATCTCCAAAGCCATACTCGTGCTTGGGTGATGTGACTTAAACTCTGTGTCTGCCTGGTGTCCCGATGAATGAGAGACCAACACTGGTAACGAAGGGAAAAAAAAAACAAAAAAACCCAAACCAGCAGTCCTAGGGTGTATAAATAGTAGCTTGAGCCTATGCAACTGCTAATGGTACACTGGGTGAACTTGAGAGTTTGGACTTTGAGAAGTCCAAGCCCTTCATGTATGAGAACAGGTGGTGAGAAGCTGGGGTTCTCCCATAAGGCAAAGGTGAGTTTAAATCCCGGTTCTCCTACTTGTTAATTGTGTGACTCTAGAAAAATTACCTAACGCCTCTGTGCCTCAGTTCTTTTGTCTGCAAAATGGAGATAATAATACTGGTGATGCCTACCCCAAAGACGGTCAAGACCTAAAGAGATAATGTATGCACGCAGCTCAGTGGATTGAGCGCGGGCTGCGAACCAAAGCATCACAGGTTCAATTCCTAGTCAGGGCACATGCCTGGGTTGGCCTGCACGGCCCCCAGCAACTGCACATTGATGTGTCTCTCTTTCTCTCTCTCTCTCTCCCTCCCTTTCCTCTCTAAACATAAATAATAAAAATAAAGATAATGTATGCAAAGTGCTTAGTACACAGAAAATGCTCAGTGGAGAGTAACTATGCAGCGTCTCTTTTTGCCCCGCCCCCTCTGCTCCTCTTACAATGAAACACCAGAGGAGATACTAGGACTCAGCTCAAGAGGGAGAATCATTCTTCCTCCCTCAGTCAGTGAACGGACCATGAAGCTGGCAAGAGCTCTGATCAACCCAGGTGAAAAAGGAGCAGAGTGTTTTGAAGGGAAGGGCGAGGCGCCCAGGATTCACACAGATGAACATGCACGTGGCTCCAGGTGGCCGGCGGGCTGCAAACCCACGCGTGACCCTGACCCTCATCAGAGAGCTACACAGAGGGTGGCTGTCATCTTTTATTTACTCAAACACATGTACACACAAATTCCATACTTTAAGCACCCCCTTCAACCGAGTTCCCTCCTTCTGTCCCCACCGGCTCCCGGGCCTCTGCTGAGAGCCGGCTCCTCCACTCAGTTCCCCCGTGGCGTGGAACTGCGTCCCCAGCACATAGGTGTGCGGCCTGAATGGGGCCTTTCGTTAAGTCAATGAGGTATCCTTTGGATTCCGTGACTTCTGTTTGAGAAGGGGGAGGACAGGAGATATTAACAATACAACATGCTCCTCGAGCCAGGCATCAGAAAACTGAGTTAGAGAGGAAAGACAAAAAAAAAAAAAAGAAATCAAATTTGAGGAAGAGGGTGGTAGAAGAGGTACACCTGGAGGCACCCGTGGAAGGAATCAAGGATGCGAAAGACCTCAGCCCAGGTGGATTGGGCCTAAAATGTGTGTGTTGACATTGAATCTGAAGATCACTGAGACCTTTGTCTTTCATGGATAACCATTAAGAAATCTGTTCAACATCTGAGTCCAAGGATGCAGAGGGCTGGCAGGTCATACAGGCTTTGAGGATGACGAGATAGGTTTCCTTGAACTTCTTTATTTTGAAAGCGTAGATGATAGGGTTCATCATGGAGTTGGCATGGGACAGCAGGATGCCCAGGTTCAGCACCACGTCCGGTACCACGTTCCCCTTGAAGTGGATGACACAGTTGATGATGGATAAAGGCAGCCAGGACAAAACAAACAGAAAGAGAACCAGAAACAGAGACTTGGCTGTCTTGAACTCCCGCCCATAAAATGCACCTGTCTCTTTAGAGCTTGAAGAGTTCTGATTGAGTCGGCGCCGGATGATACAGAAGATGTCAAGGTAGATGGTGCACATGGCCACGAGGGGGATGAAAATCCAAGTGAAGAAGCTGAAGTAGACCATGTAGTCCATCCTCATGACGGAGAGGAATTGGCAAGGAAGCGAGGTGCTATTTCCGGGCAACCCTGGGAACGTTTTCTTGTTCCAGCCAAACATGGGGGTCAGTCCCACCAGGAATGACAGCAGCCAGCAAAGGCCCAGGGCACACCATATTCTTCTCTGAGTGGTGACCCTCCTGTATCTGTTTGAATGGAAGAGAGTGGGTGAGTTTGCAGCCTTTGCTAAGAGGTGGGGGGACAGAGAGCTGCTAAGGGGAGGGGTGAGAACATTGGTGTTCTGTGACCATTTCCACAAGTCTGCTGGGTGTGAAGACAAGACGAATAGATGGTCATTCGAGGAAAATCTGCAAACTTCTTTCTAAAGGAGTACGAGCTATAATGGATCAGGAAGTTACCTAGACTCAGGTGCCTGCACGCTCTACCCATGAGTCCATTTGTAGCCCAAGAATTCTTCAATTCCTGGGAGGTCAGCATCATCTCAGTCTCCTGGGGTCACCTCCGTGGTGGGAAATGACCTCAAAGCATGTTTGCCTGCACTATTTTGTTTGTGGGGTTTGTTTTTCGGTGCCAATGTCCTTTAATTATACTCTGCCTCTCCCCGCACCCCATTTCCCTTGAATGCCCTGCTTCTGCTCCTGCAGTGACACCCACACTGGGTGTGTGAGTGACAGGAATGCTCGGTGTTGGGAAGGTCATGTTGAAATGCTTCAGGGTCCATCAGAGCCTCACCCAGGAAGAGCCATCATTTCTCCTTAAATCGCCCTTCCTGACAACATTCTCCTGACTGCAAGCAGAAAACTCACAATAAACTGGAGACCATTTTTTTTATAACTTCCATTTCACTGATGACAACAGTGAAAATAAATGGTATAGTTTCCATTTCTTGAGCAGAGACTATACGCCAGGCATTTTTTTTTAAGAGCCTCGCTTGTGTTCCCTCGCTGTGATGAGGAAGGTGTGATTATCGTCCCCGTTTCAGCGGTGAGAGGGGTGAATCACACAAGTAACTAGTACAAGCCAGAAGCGGTGAAGCTCAGACTGCAGAGAGGTGAGGCTGCGTCTGGAGCACCTCAGCCACTACGCAAAGATGAGGAACTGGAGCACAGAAACTTCTATCACGTGCCCAAGATCAGACTTCAAGATCTGGGACTGGAACTCAGGCTTGTTTGTATCACAGGTTCTCCTCTAGCTCCCTCACGATGTTTCTTCCCCAAGAGGAGAGAGGAGAAACACGAGACCCATGGAGCCAGGACGCCTGGGGAGTTGGATTTCTCCATTTGGCATCCCTTCCATTCCCTTGGTCACAGGAAAGAGCGTTACTATTTTGTGCAAGGGGAGAACTTTTTTGGTCCCCTTCTGGACATGGAAGAGGAAGCAAAGTTAAAAAAACAACTTTAAAATAACCTACATTTGCAGGGAACAGAAGTGTGAGTTTATCTCCTCCTATTCTTATCTGTCTGTTCTTTATCTTATCTAGTAGGAGGCTATCATTTCTGAAAGTCAAGAGCATTTTTTACTCATTAAAGTTGCAGCAGGCTTTTATCACCTTTAGATCCTCTGGCTGATAGAGCAGACACTCCCTTAGCCATTTGGGGGAGGGTGGGGTTCCTTTGTTTCTTGTTCCTGAGTCTCAGCTCTTCATTGCTAAACCCCTCACAAACCAAATGGTGGAAAGAACTCCCTTCAAGTGCAGAGGCCAATTTGGATTTGTTTTCATCAGAAAGTCTGGGGTCTGGACTCTGTAGCCCCATTTCCCAGGCCCCACACCACCCCTCTTTGCGCAGGTTACCTGACCGTGAGCTTGACCCGCAGGTATCGGTCCACAGCGATGGCCAGCAAGAACAGGATGGAGGCGTGCGTGAAGACCAGCAACAGGCAGGTCATGAAAAGGCAGCTATAGAAGTCGATGGTGATGCCCAGGCTGATGACAATGGCCAAAGGCATGACCAGCACCCCAACAGCGATGTCGGCCAGGGCTAGAGAGACGATGAAGTAGAAGGTGGTGGTGTGCAGGCTGGGGTTCAGCTTGACCACCCAGATGACCAGCATGTTGCCCACTATGGCGCAGAGCCCGATGACAGCCTCTGCGGTGATGTAGGAAATCCTGACCAACGGGTCGGTGCTGTTGACAGCCATCTTGGTTCCCCCGAGGAGCCTCCCCAGGCGACAGGCACACAAACGGGATCCGTGCGGGCCCGGGAGCGCGCGCTCTTGCTGGAGGTCCGGGCGCAGCAGTGGCGGTCTCAGACTCACAGCTCACCCATTCCTTCTCGAGGCCGATGGAGCGTTCTCCCCGACGGCCCCTGTCCTTAGGGAGAGCCCATCACGGGGCAATCAGTTCTGGCCGCTCGGCCGGCCACACATCCCAGGTCCCCGAGAGCCCGGAGGACAGCCCTACGTGGGCTGAATCTGAAAGAGCTGTGGCACTTAGTTCCCCAGACAGATGCGCCCGAGGACTCCGCCTTCCCGGGGCCCGAGGGCTAATGAAGCGCCATCGAGATAAGCAGTGCTCTTCGGGGGTGTTTCAGGAAGTGAGATGAGCGGGAGGAAGCACCGGGCCGGGAGCGCTCGGCCGGCGGTGGAAAGAGCGGAGGAGGGGGTGTGAGCGGCGGGGCCAAGGCGCGGCCTCCCGTTGGTCCACTCGGGCCGGACGCATGCGCAGCACGGGGCGGGAGAGGCGCTGGGAGCGCTGACGGCGTGGTGGCGTAATGGTCCGGCTTTCTGCTGGCGCAGCAGAAATTCCCAGGACAAAGAGGGAACCGGAGACACGGTGGACAGGAAATAGATTTTGCTGGCCGGCCCCTCACCTTAGCCAGAATTTGCTCTTCCCGGTGCGTGTAGCATAGAGATCGACCGCGTGTGAGCCTCCAAATTCGTAACAGAAATCTCAAGATGATGGTATTCGGAGGTGGGGCCTTTGGGAGATTACTAAGTCTTAAGGATGGAGCCCTCATGATGAGACGGACTAGTGACCCCACAGAGCTCTCCCAGCCCTCCCACCAACCATGAACCACAAAGTGGGTCCTCATCAGACACAGATTCCACCTGTGCCTCGATCTTGAACCCCGGAGCCTCTTGAATGGTGAACACTAAATTTCTGTTGTTTATAAAGCACCCACTGCTTGCTGAGCACAGCTGGAACCCAGCCTTTGTATCCAAGATCTTTTGCCAAAGTGACAAGCTAAGATTCTCTGCTCAGAGTAGCAGAAACTCAGCACCTCCTGTAGGCACCATGGCTGCCGCTCCTCCTCCTCCCCTTCTCAGCCCACAGCCCACCACGCCCTCGCACTAGTAACCACGTGGGTCCGGTCCGTGGGAGGCACAGCAGGACAGCAGGGTGACCGGCCGCGCAGAAAGGAAGGAACGCGCACTGTGTGCCTGTGACCACGTGGCACTCCCTCCTCCCCTCATGCCCCCAACCCTACCCCCACCCTGCGGTAACTGGTGTCTTCTGCCTGGGAATCAGAGCAGCTTCTTCTGAAGTTGCTCCCCTGGTCTCACCTCCCGGGAACCAGACCCTCAAAAGCAATTGCTGTTTGAGGGCAACCTAGTTCAGTTGCTTCTCAGTGTCGCCCAAATGGGCTTTATTTATTATTGGTTTAAAAGAGAGAGAGGAAGGGGAGAGAGAGGCAGAGAGACGTCGATTCATTGTTCCACTTATTGACGCATTCGTTGGTTGATTCTTTCATGTGCCCTGACCAGGGATCAAACCCTTAACCTTGGTGTATTGGGATGATGCTCTAACCAAATTAGCTACCAGGCCAGGGCCAAAGGGGTTATTGAGAGAGACAGTTGAACCTAAGCCCACAGTTGAACACGGTGGGTTTAACAGTTTGTCATGTCTACCTCGAGGCACCAAGCTATGTATAGCCAAAAGCAAAATTCAGCAACAACCAAGTGCTGTTCCGGGGCTTAGAGCTGCCTGGGCTGGGGCCTGCCCGGGTCTTTGTTAGCGGTTCTGCGTCTTCGTCACCCACTGGCCCCCGCCGCACCCCAGGCGGGTCCGCGTCTGTCTGAGCGCCTTGCTCATCCCCGCAGGACCCGCGCAGTCCCCCTGAGCGACCGCCCGCCCCGGCCTCCCTGCCTGCGTTTCCGGGCTCCAGCATGCTCCGGCGCCCGCTACGCCCCCTCCCTGCGCTGGCTCCCAGCGTGGCCTCTCACGTCTCTACTGCAACCGCTTTCTTTATCTCCGCTTCGGGGAAGGAAGTCACAGAGTCATTTCTGAGAGGCCGTGGGCTCAGGAAAACGGTCATTCTCACTCTCTAGCCATCTTTGAGTTTGGACGAATCACTCTAAGAAATGCGCCCTCCCACCCAGTGGCACCTTGTGAGCGCAAGACGCTCTGCTGGAGGGATGAGCCGAGGTGTCTGGTTGCGGGGTTGGCACAGCGGAGGGGCAGCTTTCCTGGGGGGTGTGGCTGCCCCGGTCTGCTCTCAGCCCAGCCTGGGGTGGCCGAAAGAGGAGGGGACCTGTTGGCAGAGCAGAGCGTGGGTGGGCACTCGGTGCTGGAGAGCTGGCAGGAGGATGGACAGCTCTTGCTTTTAGAGAGACGCCCAGGTGTGGCCCTCCCCTGGCCGTGGGCCAGAAGCTGGGGGGAGAGCCAAGGAGGCAGGGCCAGGAGAAATGCCCCTGCCTTGGAGCCAGCCACCTGGAAGAGGCCCTAGGGACCCAGGTGACAGCTGCAGCTGAAACCTGACTGCTGTGTTTTCAGATTCTTGCTCCTTCCTTCTCTTTGTGCCCAGCTGAGACCTTCTGGAAGCAGCCCGTCTCGGCTGAGCGAGGGAAGCCCAGGCCAGGGGCTGTGTGCAAGCAGCGGTCACAAGGGCAGCGTGGTGGGACGGGAGAGCCCTCGGGGAGAGAATAACCCACAGGACAGAGGACAGGCAGGGGCACACTTGGGGCCACCGACCAAGCCACCTCTTCTCACCTGGGATTTCTGCTTCCGGAATTCTCTGTGCAGACCTGGGGACTTCCTCCCACGGACCAAGGAAGCCCTTCCTTACATATTCTGAGTACACAGAGCCCATAGCTGCTGGGGGCTAGGGGGGTGATTTTTGGGGGGGGTGGGAGAAGAGGCTTTCCCAGTCACTTGACGTTTTGGCCTGGGACAAGGCCTTCAGCATCCTTTGTCCTTTTCTGCAAAGGGCAGTGAAGGGGCCACAGCCACTCTCGGTTAGGCAGCCTCCCTGGTCCCCTCAGGCAGCCTCGACCACCCCAACCTCGCAGCCCATCCCAGGGGCCAGCCCCGCCCACAGCCTTGGTGTTGCCCCCAGGCTGAAGGCCAGGCTTCTGGGAAGGGCGGGCGGGACCCTCCGGCCCCTGCAGCCTGCGGCCACCTGGTTCCCCCAGAAACCTCAATCCTCCATGACGATGCCCGTGGCTTGAGGCTGCTCTCTCACTTCCTCTCCCCTGTGAGGGTGCTCTGCCCACCCCCCGCGCCCCGCCTCTGCCTGGAAAATGAGACTGTTCCAAATCCGGACCTTGAAGAAACGGTCCCAGACACCACCCCCTGCTGGGCTCCCAACAGGCTGAGCTTAGCCCGTTAGCTAGCTCTGGAGGGCAGGGGCGTCTGCTTTTCACATCTGCACTTCCAGTCCCTGCACAATGCCTGGCGGGCAGCAGGGCTCCGTCTAATTAATGAGAAGCGCGTGGAAGCCCCTCAGCGAGCAGGGGCATGCACCCAGCAGCGGCACCAACACCAGTAAAGCAGCTAGGACCCGGGAAGCACTTTCCATTGTAACACCTACTGCGTTCGGCATTGTCCTTACAAGTCCTTACTCAAGGCTCTCTGATAAAAGAGATACTGTCCTTACCGCCGAGCTAACCAAGGCCCGGAGCGGTTAAGCGACTTGCCCGGGGTTTGCATGGCCAGGATGAGGCAGAGCTGGCGTTACAGCCAGACTCCTGGCTGCAGGGCGCAGGGTCCGATCCCCAGCCTTCGCTCTGAGCAAGTGAGTGACCACGGAAGCTTCCGCAGGTGCCGGAGCCCCCAGATCTGCTGCTGCTGTATTATCAGTAGGGGGTTCTGAGCTCATGTCTGGGAAAGAAGCGGCCTAGACCATGGGCGCAAAGCACAAGAGTAAAGTAGGTCCGGCCCCAGGTCTGAGTTGGGAAGACAGGGAGGAGCCCACAGACACTTGTGCGAGCTGGTGGAGCTGGGCCCCCAGACGGAGCCCCGGGCCAGAAAGAAAAACTTTCATAGGACCAAAGTGCCCAAAAGATTCTTTTAATAATAAAATAAATTATAAGGGAAACGTCTCTCAGGGGACGTTCCCATCTAAAAGAAGGGGCGTGTCTGTTTCAGTTCTTCTAGAAGAACCTGAACTTCAAGGAGGAGGCAAGGCTCTGGGCCTGAATCACAGGACAGGCCACTGGAGTCTTCCAGAGAGGCCTCAATTGTCCCCAACCCCAGCCTGGAGCCTCCTTGGGCTGATGCATCCATCCAACCACAAGGATGCATCCTTAACCTTGGAGTTCTGCTTAATGCCTGGTGAGAGGTTGGCCAGAGACTCATCTGATTCTCTGCAGCTTCTCAGAAAAGCCCGGGAAGCCCCAGCAGCAGCCTGCAAACGCAGCAGGAGGCAGTGTTGGGGGTGGGGGTGGGGGTGGAGGCCCGGGAAGGGCCGCTGAGCCCTGCCACTGGCGCAGGTGGCTGCCCAGACCGGATGTCCGCAGGCGGAAGGTGGCCGCTTGTGCCGGGGCTGGCTCTCCCGGTCTGCAGAGTTGCACAAAATCAGTTCGCTCACTTCCTCTTGGCTCCGTGGCGACTTCCCCAAAGCCTCCTAGCTTTACAGAGCTTTCGGCTTGCTGGCCAACTGTGGAGTCTTAGAAAGACCCAGAGCCCAGGGCCGGCCCAGGAAGGCGGCCAGGTCTTGCTCCCCTCTCCCAGCACCATCCCCCCGCCCCGCCCCTTCGGCCACAGGTCAGACCAGACGGAGGAGGCTGGGCCCTTCCGATGGCTTCCTCCAGGGGCTGAGCTGGAGCCACTGTCCCCATGGACTTCTCACTAGGGCCCAGCGACTGGAGCCAGTCCAGCTGTGGCCAAGGAGCCAGGGACTCCTGAGACCTGCAGAGTTCAGCGGACCCGGGACCAGCGTGAGGGGCAGGGGAGGGGGAGGGGCTCCTTCACGCTGAGTAACAGGAAATCCTGGCAGTAAAGGGGCGCGGCCGCCAGACCTGTCCCCCTCCCCCCATCCGTGTGTCCCAAGCCTCCGGGCCCTGGTGGAGCATCCAGAGAAGGGTTCGGTGAACTTGAAATTTGTTCCAGGTTCTAGGCACTTGGAAAATGAAGGGGTGTTCAGACTACATGAGTCTTACAGTGAGTATAAGCTTCCAGGCACCAGCTTCACAGCTTATTTCTGTCTCCGCTGGGCGCCATGCTCAGCAGTGACCAGCAGGTGGCAGCACATTTCCACTGCCGCGCAGGACACGGGTTGTAAAGGATGACTGAGTGGCGCCCTCTTAGTCCCTACTTGGGTGGCGACCTGAGGCGTCGCAGAAAGTGAAAAAAGTGAGAATTAGGGGCAAGGGAGACAAGGATCAGCTGCCAACTGCCTCAGTTCAGTCCCACCTCCAGACCCTTCCT